GTCGAATTTCTTTAATTAGAGTGACGATTTTTGTGTGAAAAAATAAATGTCCGCAACAGAGACGTCTTACTAACACGAGGATGATCTTAAAAAAGATCACGCCCATTACAGACATTCGTGTTCTATATATACCTAGAATGTCCCGCGAATAATACTATTGACCTGGGCTGCCGGTTTATAATTGGACTTTTTTTTTTCTAGGATGAATAGTGCGTTCTAAAAGAAAGCTCAGTAATATTTTCCTTTTTTTATATTCTTTTTTTTTATTATGAGAAAACGATGTGTAAACGCCAGGAGAAAGTATTTCTGAAGAGAAAACGCCAGAATACGCTCAACTCGGGGACCGGCCCCGAAATCAGGCCCCCTGCCAACTTGAGCGGAAACCCGCCGAATGTTCAATTCTATTTACAGAAAGAAATTGTTACAACTCTTAAAAATTATGTAGGCAACACTTTTTACCAAAAAACAAAAAACAAAGGACTAGTTTTAGTGAAATTTCTTGTTCCATTTGGATTCTAAACATAGTGTTAAATTACTATAGATGAAAAAATGAAACTTAAATATTGTGTTATAATTATGACTAAGTTTCTTTCTTTTTTCATTACATTCTTAAACAAACTCACCGACCTCATTGTGGGAGTCTAGATTGTTTCTTTAGGTCCCCAGTTTCTAAAGGGGCTCGAACGAAAATTTTGTAATGTAGGTAGTCGCTATCCAGATATATCTGATAAACACTGCCTTAATGTGTTTTATTTCAAGTCAATGTATAAGTTACTTGTACTTGGGTTGCCTGAGCTAGCTAGGAAAACCAGTGACTTGGCTGAATTTAAGTCATTGGTTAATATGCATGAATGCATGACGCGTAGGATGTAATCATCTTCTTTTTTGAAGTAACGTCTGTATTATATAAGATAAGAAGATACTTTGCATTATTTATTTTATATCAATCCAAGAGAAATACTCAGCGCTGAGTTACTTCTATTTGTCCTGGTGGTGTGTTGGATAAATCTGTAGGCACCTCCGAATCCGGGTATGTCAGATGATTGTAGACACAATGCACATCTCTCCAAAATACAATCGTGATAATCATTATCAAAGTGTACAAATTGTTGAAAAAGTTTCACCGTCAAAGGCTTTTTGTGTTTCAAGTCATTTTATTTCGTATTTAATGGTCAATGTCGGTTGTTTTTAGAATAAATTAAAAAAAAAAGACATTACAGGCACAAAAGAAGTAAATAATTAGGGTCATATAATTCTAAGAAAGACACGAACATAATGCAGAAAGAATATTTGCTCTTGAAAAGAAAACAACAATTAGAGAATACATGATTTTGAAAAGCAACCTTAGCAATCCTTTATAGACTATAGATCCTCAAAGTTTCGCTTTTAAAGGATTTACAAAAAATTTATTTGACGCACACACAAATAGGGTCTACAATAATGATCTAAAAAAATGGATTTGAATCATCGGGGCGCATTTGGTACAAGCTCAGTCGTAAAAATTATTTTTAAAAAGTGGGGGTGGCATTTTTTAATTTCCCAGGCAGGCCACAACCCTTGCGGCGGCCCTGTCTGTGTGTGTGTGTTATATGATGTGTGATATGATTAAGGAAAATCGTGCCCATCTATCATTTGATGTTTTATTTACATCGCTTTCTCTGTCTGCCTCTTCTTCTTTTTTCCTAAAAGAAGATCTTTGAGAGTCTTGACGAACTTTTAATATGGCGATAATGTTTTGGCTTGCGTTTTTTTTTTTACAGTGATCAGCAGGTCATCTTGGGATCAAATTGCCATTGTAATCCTTTTTCAATGACTTATTGACTTCTAGCACCAAACTGCTGGTAGACAATTAACCATTGTAGGCGTAATATTTCTTAACTAATTAGACTTGAAATAACTTGAATACTTTCTTTTTGTAAAGAAATATTTTATTTATAATAACAACGAAATCAAGTTGAAATGAGATATAGTAACTGTATTAGAATTTAGTAAACATAGTCATTTAACAAAATCTAACTTGCTAAAATAACACAACCTTCATTTTCACGTTTTGGAGTAGTCTGAGTCTGTCTTAAGTAAGATCAAGTGACGACAATGCCACCTATGTTGCATCATTCACAATCAATCGCTAGCCTCTTCCCACAATCGCCATATAAACACACACACAAACACTCCAAAACAACCAGACCCTAGCAGATCTGTATGCATAAAGTCTACATAAAGTATCGCATACTAAAAGAACATTGAAAGTATATAAATAAGATATTTTATAATTTCGCTAATTTTTTTTTTTTGGCCTCCTTCAATCATACAGCTATGGTTCATTTTGTAGAGCTTTGTTCTCAAGAGACATTTCCTTCCACTAACAACGCAAGTAAAGAAGGCATTTGCTTTGATGGTCGAGGAACCAATCTTTTTGTCTGCCTCGATGTTCCTCTGATATCTAGTGGGAACGACGCATAAGTTGTCATTGTGTGTAATGTTGAAGAATGCTGAAACATAAATAGTATAGATTAATTTGCATACAACTTTAGCAGACAAAAGTTTATTCAATAATAACAATATTCTGCAACTTCTTTGATATTATATTAATGTGATCCAATTTGAAATATAATTGCATCCGCATTACAGAGGTATCAAATATATCAAATATGCTAAGTCCTCTAGAATACAGATAACGTCCAGACCACAGCAGATAAAAGAATAACTTCAATAACATGTATCCAGCTCTAAGTACAGAAAAAAAACACAACAAATACGTGTACTTTCTCAATTGACTTTACTTAGACTTAGACTTAGGTCCTCCCGCGCCGTTCGGCGCATTGGGCGGCAAGCTGTCTCCATAAAGATCTGTCACTGGCAATGTCTGAAGCCTCCTCCCACCTGGTGTCCACTGTTCTGAGGTCCTCCATGAAGGTGTGTCGCCAAGTAATACGAGGACGTCCCTGTTTGCGCTTTCCTTGTTTTGGCTTCCATGTTATCGCAACTCTTGGTGTGCGTAATTCATTTTGACGTAGAACATGTCCCGCAAACCTCATGCGACGCTCAGTCAAAACCTCACCAAGTGTTCGACTCCCAGTTCGGCATAGGATTTCCTTGTTTGAGACCCGATCTGTGTAACTGACTCCCAAAATTCGTCTCAGCCATCTCTGTTGAGCCACATTTAGTCTATTCTCAATTTTGACAGCTGACTTCTACGTCTCACATGCATATGTAGCAGTTGGAATGACGATTGTGTTGAGAAGGTGTATTTTTGTCTCGAGTCCAATGGCTTGGCTAGTCCAAATTGGCTGCAGCCTTTGGAAAATGCTCCCTGCCTTTCCTATTCGGCACGCTACATCATGGTAAGCATCTCCATCATTTGTTATGATGCTGCCAAGGTACGTGAACTTGTCCAGCTCTTCAAGCTTTGACTCGCCAAGTCTGACGGGGACACCCTTTGCCTTATATCCCACTCGCATAATTTTAGTCTTATGCGGAGGCCAATTTTGGGTGCCTCTCTGTCTAGGCTTGAATGCATTTATTTGTAGCCCCGAGTAGTGCAACATCATCAGCAAAGTCCAAGTCCGTCAATCGGATCTGTTCACGCCATGGAATACCAAAGGCAGTCTGGTTCATTGCTGTCCTCATTATGTAGTCGATAGCTAGGAGAAAAAGGAAGGGAGATAAGATGCACCCCTGTCTCACACCTGTCTCAATTGTAAAAAAACTATGTTGTTCCCTCTTCTGTTTTAATGCAGCAACTAGATTGACTGTAAAGGTGTCGTAGGATCTGGACGAATTTTTCTGGGATACCGTATTCTCTAACTATTTTCTATAGTGATTCTCGGTGGACATTATCAAACGCTTTTTTGAAGTCCACGAAACTGATCGTTAGCCGTTGTTGGTACTCAAGACTTTGGTCTATGATATTTCGTAGAACGAAAATCTGTTCTGTACATGATCTGCCTCTTCGGAAACCTGCTTGTTCTTCTCTGAGCCTTTCATCTACAGACTGTTGAAGCCGTCTCAACAAAACAGTGCTGAAAACTTTGCCCGGGACAGAGAGAAGAGTAATGCCCCTCCAGGTGCTGCAGTCTGCGAAGTTGCCCTTTTTTGGAAGCTTTACAATCACTCCCTTTTGCCAGTCCTCTGGGACTTTTGAAGTTCGCCAACAGAAATTTAAGAGATCAGTCATTCTGTTAACAATGCACTGTCCCCTATATTTTAGCATTTCTGCTGATATCATGTCTAGCCCTGGTGCTTTGTTATTCTTTAACACTGCAATGGCCATGGTAACCTCCTCAGCAGTTATTGGGTCTGTCTTGACCTTGAGATCATTGTCTGGAGAGGGGTCCTTGAATATGTAAGTTAGGTCTGGCGACAGTTGGTTAAGGGTCTCTTTAAAGTGCTCAACCCATTTTGCATCCTGTTCTTCTTTCGTTAACAAAGTTTTGCCTTGCTTGTCTTTTATCGGTGCCCCATGTCCACTCTTTGCTCCAGTGAGATCTCGGACAATACGATGGAGGGTTTTTCTGTCATTTCTGCTTGCAGCTGCTTGTGCCTCTTGTCCCTTCTGCTCAATCCAGTCCCGTTTATCTCGCCGACAACTTCTCTTTACTATCAGATCTGCTTCCCTATAGGCTTCTTCCGCTAGGCTGCGATCCTGTGTTTCATTTTTCTGATCTCGTCTACGTTTGGCCTCAATTGACTTTAAGTGACTTAAATTTACTACTCAACTCAACTGACTTAAAATTCCTACTGAATTAAAGTCTATTCAGCCTTTCTTACTTCCTATTTCTATGTCCTAGGTTTCTCGTGCTTTTCACCCTCTTGACCCGAAATACACATTTAACAGGCAATGTCAAGCGAGACTATAATAGAAAAGCCATTAACTTTCTTCTGGTCCAGAATTTCCTTGTCAACATCTGTCTCCACATAGTGTGATCTTGGGTCTAGTTTTTTTTTATTAACAAAACAAACAAAAAAAGAAACTAAACGATAATAAATAACAATTATTATACTTATATTTATTATAATTATATTCCAAAAAGGTTATCCAGCAGCTGGACATCACCCACAATTCAACAGGGAACTGTAAACGGAGACCCGGATGTCGATGCTATTTTTAGACTGACTAGGAAATCGGAGACGTCACCACTTAACGTGACCTTTGACTCCCACGCCCCTCCAGTTCTAGTGTCCCAAGGTGTGTTCAGTCCATTCAACTCCCAGAACACTTTGTTTCATGAACGAGCCTTCTGGGCCTTGTTGATCCCAACAGGGACCACGTTTAGAATGTGTGACATATGGAGGGGCTACTGGGCTCAGAGGTTGATGTGGGAAATAGGAGACAGGCTGGCCTTCTTCCCTCCAAATGCTCACCAAAACAGAAGTGCTCACTCCTACATGGAGGACGCTGAGGACGAGAAGGACATGTACTTTCAAACGGACACTTTGATTGATTTCTTGACCAACTGGACATGTCCTTCTAGTCTGACCTTCTTCCAATGTGTTCTGAAGTTAACGTCTGACATGGTCGTTAAACATTTTTGGAAATCTGAAGAAATCGATTTGACAAGTCGATGGCTGGAGGATTTGTTAGAATTAGGATATCCTGAACCTACTCGAGTCATAGAAGTTTTAACATTAAGTGATAATGAAACTTTAAAGCTAGAAGATTATAATATATTTCATTATGACATTTTTCAACATGAAACTCTTCTTTCTAAAATTACATTTATTCCAAACGAACAGAAATCACCACAAGTGACAACTAGCAATTTGAAAGATAGTGTTCTTCAAAAAGCCTACGAGAGTCCCTCCAAAATATGCCCAAATATTACAAAAATGGTGACTGCTCCAATTGACATGCCCTATTCAAACAATTTCTTTGATATTTTGTTGGTGATTGTATTTAACAAGCCAGGTTTTTACTCCAATGTTCGATACCTTGATGCTCTATACGGCCAAGTTTTTCCAAATATTATTTACTGCGGCGACAACGCTGCTCAGTTTGTGGAACAAACTCAACATTTGGGAAAACAATTTAGTTTTATAGATGAACCTCTGGACAGGGGGACAGTTGGCTACATGTGTGCAGTTAGAGCTATAGAGATGAACTTTAACGTCAAAGGATTCCTGATCATGGGTGACGACGTCTTATTTAAACATTGGGAGTTTTTCAACGCAACAAGGGATCATTTCTGGGCAACTTTTGAAGGTGGGTACATTGTTATCAATATAACCCAGCCGACACACTGGTGGTCATGGTGGCCATCGAATACGGGTAAAGAAGCCTTTGATAAAACTGTGGAAGACTTAAGGCGTATTCCAAGTGTACCAATATATATCAACAATACATCTTTGTTTCTGGACAGCTTGTGGAACTTTACTGGCAGCACTGAGTTAATTGAAGGCTGCATTAGTGACATCTATTACATCCCTGCTGTTAAACGCCTTCAAACAAGTTGGTATTTCAAAAAGTTCTACAAACATCGCGTGTTTTTAGAAATCGCTGTGCCTACCGTTATTCGAGGTCTTGAAACGAGAAAAGATTTAGTTCTGATTCATGGGAAAAGTCTTTGGGGAGGAGAGCGCCCTAATCCTTTCAGAATATATCCAACCGTTCCACATTTTTTCCACCCAATGAAATTAACGGAGCCACAAACTTTCCATGATGTATGCAACATATATGCCCCCGATATCCTGAGGTATAGTTTTGGGATTACGTTAAATTAAATCACAGTTCAATTTTGTTAAACACAGAAAGATATATAAGCCAAAGGCCTAGCTTACTAAGTTATTCATTTAATATCCACCCTTTTGACATCAATCTAGTTAAACACATAAAGATAGATAAGCCAAAGGCCTAGGTCGCAGCAATATAAATATATGTCCACTTTTTGTTACTTTTATAACCTATATATAACTTTTAACTTTTAACTTTTAAACAAAACTTTTATAAAAGCATATTGCAATTAATATGGAATACTTTCGTTTCATGTTCTTTAACAATTTAGGTTTATATTGATAAGTCCTTAAAGTTAGTTACATGAAATAAGTTAAATCTATTATTGATCCTTATTTATTTCGTTTGGTATCGAAAAAAACAAAATGAAATAAACGCTACCTATCTAGAGGTGTGGCTGTAAATGTGTAGTTATTCTCTTTGTTTTGTTTTGTTCACTTTTGTTTTCTCCCACTTTGAAATTTTGCTTTATTATTCATAGTCGAACAAAATACATGAATCACTTTAAAAAATTAACAAATCTATTAATCAGTGGTTATTAATTAATATTTTATAGAGAGAAAGGACATTATATCAATCAGTTATAGAGTGATATAATAGTTATTTAGCGTTTCTTTCCCTTACAAAAAAAAAGGTTTTCGCTCACATCATGGGACAACGTGGCACATTTTTTACAAAATCTATTACTTGTCTTATAAACATTTTAACTATCTATAGGCGTGGGCCAAAATACCTAAAAACTATTCACTATAAATATCAGATTCCTACCGGATACTAAGATAAATAGATCAGCTTTCCTTTATGAGTTTCAGGCTCCTTAGCATATACAGGCAGGTAGTCTAAATCTTTGATCTGACTTAAATCTGCAAATAGTTTTAAATAAACAGTTAATTCAATGAGAACAGTCGCACTGAAAACGTTAAGGTGCTTTGAGATGTTCAAAAAATATAAAGTAGACAATAAGGCGTATGTATGTATGTATGAATTTATGTATGTATGTATGTATGTATGTATGTATGAATTTATGTATGTATGTATGTATGTATGTATGAATTTATGTATGTATGTATGTATGTATGTATGTATGTATGTATGTATGTATGTATGTATGTATGTATGTATGTATGAATGTATGTATGTATGTATGTAAGTATGTATGTATGTATGTATGTATGTATGTAAGTATGTATGTATGTATGTATGTATGTATGTATGTATGTATGTATGTATGTATGTATGTATGTATGTATGTATGTATGTATGTATGTATGTATGTATGTATGTATGTATGTATGTATGTATGTATGTATGTATGAATGTATGTATGTATGAATGTATGCATGTATGAATGTATGCATGTATGAATGTATGCATGTATGCATGTATGCATGTATGTATGTATGTATGTACGTAAGTATGTATGTATGTATTATGTATGTATGAAGGTATGTATGTATGTATGAATGAATGTATGTATGTATGTATGTATGTATGTATTATGTATGTATGAATGTATGTATGTATGTATGAATGTGTGTAGGTCACTAGCGGATCCAGAACTTTGGAGTGGGGGGGGGCGATTTTTTTCCAAACCAAACCCTAACGCCCAGTAAACCCTAACCCTATGCATAAACGTGCGTACAGCACATATATATATAAATATATATATATATATATATATATATATATATATATATATATATATATATAAAAGCGCAGCATTTCTCAACCTTCGTCGAAAAACAAAACAACTGGGGCAGCGCTATAAGGTTCCATAGTGGTTTTCGGGGCAAAGCCCCGATGCCAAAAGCGTTTTCTTGCATTCTTCACTGCAGAAACGCATTCTCCTGACAACTACAGCACATTATTCATCAGTGGGGTTTGAATTTGCATAATTCATAGAAGAAACGCAGTCTCATGACCTAAAGCTCATTTTTCATACTATTTAAAAAGGACCTATCGAATAATGTTGTACTTCAAAAATATTCTAATATGAATTTATAGGCCCTTAATACATTGCAAATAAAACCGATTTGTTCCATTGAGAAGAGAAGATACCCCACATATTTAGATTTGGCTTTGAGGATCGCCGCCGAAAAAAGAATTATTCGATAAATAATATTCAATAAAATTAAAGTATACATTGTGAGTTATAGTCCTAAATTTATTTAACTAGAAAAATTTTAGATTGAGTAAAGGTTGGGAAAAGGCGACTATGAGTATAAACCATGCAGGTTTAGAACTCATCTCAATCATGACTCTTATACTAAAAATTTCGTTTGAATTCTAACTTTCTTAAAATAATTATGATAAATTCATGTGAAATAAATAAACTATGGAAATGAGAGGGTGGTAGAGTGAAAACTATTAATCCTCGCTCCTTTAATAATTTCTGCTAAAGATTGCATTTGGCATTAAAGAATAAGGGTGGGGCGACTCAACTAATTTTGTTCACAAACTATGATTCTCCATAAAAATAGGACCGCCCCCCACTCAGAGTGCTAGAGTTGGAGGGCAGTACATGCAATCACCCTCCCCCCAACCCCACCGAATCGGCCAAGATACCAGAAAGGGATTGACATAATATAAAATTTATATATTAATTGAATTAATTTTTTTCACAAACTATGATTTCTCCATAAAATTAGGACCGCCCCCCCACTCAAAGGGTTTAGGTGGGAAGGGCAGTAGAGGTATTCGCCCCCACCCCCCCTCAAATCGGCAAAAAGGGAAAGACATAATATAAAGATCGGTTAAAATATCAATAACAAATTTAAATCATATAGATATTTAATTGTTTCTGTTAGCAAGCTGTGATTTCTAAAAATAAATTGGACCGCTCCCCCAACTCGAAAGTGTATGGGTGGGGGGGCGGGATTGATACCATCGCCCCCTCCCGACCCCACCAAATCGGCCAACCTACTAGAGTGGGGGGGGGCGAAATAATCTAAAAATAGGTTGAAATATAAATAATTAGTATATATTATTAACATAAGTAATAAATTCGTATATAAATTGTGGGAATCTTATACTAAAATTAGTATTTTCCGGGGGGGGGGGTGTCGGCCGAGTGAGGGGGGGGGGGGGGGCGATCGCCCCTAAGACCCCCCCCCCCGGATCCGCCAGTGGTGTAGGTATGAATGTATGTATGTCTGTATGTATGTCTGTATGTATGTCTGTATGTATGTCTGTATATATGTATGTATGTATGTATGTATGTATGTATGTATGTGTGTATGTATGAATGTATGTATGTATGTATGTATGTGTGTATGTATGAATGTATGTATGTATGTATGTATATATGTATGTATGTATGTATGTATGCCTGCCTACTACTGTCCCCCCGCCTACGGGGCTCCAGGACCGGATTATCTGTTAGGGTTTACTCCCTTAGTCTTAGACCTTACAGGGTCAAACACACAAGGCAGTGCGGCTATTGACCTATAGCTAGGGGTTTGGTTTGGGGGCAACAGGGCGTGTCCGCACACCGACGGGCCATGCCTGCCTCACATTTTGGGGCCAAACATCCTCCGAGACCCTTGCAGTTTAGC